GGGGGGGGTTTATCATCAAAGGTCGCACACCATGAAAAATACGTTCAGAAAATGACTTTATCGGTATTGCTGGAGATTTTGAGAAGCGAAACGGATCGACACTCCCAAACTGTCAGAGATTTTTAATAAGAAAAACTTTCGTGTTTAATAATTTTTCAAGCTCAAACTAAGCCGTTCCTAAGTGCATGAATTTCTCCGGTTAAAATAAGCGTGAAACTGAAGGGGGAAAACCCTTTGTTTTCATGCATTTTCTGTCTAAATAGTTTTGATAGCTGAAGCTGGATTTTTTCAGAATAACGACTCATTTACCATCATTTGAGCTTGGGACTCTTATAATGCGTGTCATACCGATAAACTAGCGCCACTCAGGGCTGGCACGAACTAAAAGGTTTTTAACACATGTAGTGCGGAAGATAAAACACACAGACTTTTACTCCATGTTCTTGTTGAAGTACAATACATCAGTTTAGATAAATGTGTCGCTGAAGGTTAACTTCTTTTTCTCTTTCGCTCAGTTCAATGATGTCAGAGGTTTGACCTTCGATCGTCATGGTAATCTATATCTTGCCTATTATAACAATCCTCGTGTTCAACGCTTTTCTCTCGAATAGACTCGAAAGAGAAGAAGAATGATTGATTTGAGGGTGTGAGTAAGGGTGAGTTTATACATAATTTGGACACGGGTAGTGTTTCTTTATTATTTTTGCTCTATTTTACGGAGTTTTTCGAAATTTGACTATGAAGAAATGAATTTTTTGCTTTCTTTGTTCAGGTCAACTGTTACACAATCATCATTCATTCTTCAGTTGTGCGAATGTAGAAAAGATGTCATGGTTTCGCCTCTTTGTTTTTTCATTACTATGACTAATTCCGCTGTTATCAAATAAATAAAATCAGTTTACCTGTGTCACGCACGCTATTTGATACAATTTTATCTGTTGATGTTGAATATGACATTTTCTTCCGACCCATTTACCATCATTTTAGCTTGGGACTCTTATAACGCGTGTCATACCGATCTCTATAGCGTGTGGTTAATTCTTGAGCTTTTTCGAAATATCTGTTTGCTTTGTTTTGTAAGTCCATTGTAGCTTGTAACAAGTAGTCACGTATACGCTTTACTAAGCTTATATTTAATAAGCGGAAATTTATACCTATTTTTCATGATATAATCCTCATCTTTTCTTCATTCGATTTAGATTTTAAAATGGATTTTGATTTTGTTGCCGATCATATTCAACTAGTTTGGGTTGATAAGAACATGGAAGATTACAGACGAACACAAGAGAAATTTCGTCAAAATACCGATACATTGGCAACATTTAATAATGCACAATATTGCATCGATTTTATACGCCAAAACTCAACTAAAAAAATATTCCTCATTACTCAAGGTTTATTTGCACGTGATATTGTTCCTCAAGTTGAAAATTGTGATCAGTTGGAATGCGTTTATATATTTTGTCATAACGTGCAGAATTATCGTGACTGGGCACTGGACTATGATAAAATAATGAAAGGTGGTATATTTGATATTGATGATGATTTAAATATAAGCTTAACAAAAGGTATACGTGATTACTTGTTACAAGCTACAATGGACTTACAAAACAAAGCAAACAGATGTTTGGAAAAAGCTCAAGAATTAACCGCACGCTATAGAGAGTTGTATCAAGCGAAATGTACATTGCATTTAAGTAGGCCACCGGATGTAGAAGATCCTGCTGGTATGCAGCCCCAGTAATAACGAACATGTTTTTTTTGTCAAGAATTTCTTTTCATCTAAAAAAATGTCATATTCATACATTATTAACATATAGATTACCATGACGATCGAAGGTCAAACCTCTGACATCATTGAACTGATTTGCTTCTTTTCCTTCACCATTTTCACCCACAATAACAGTGCCCTGCTTCGTTCCTTGGGGCCAACGTGTCACTC